AGAATGATAATGGTAGAGAAGAATCATCAGATGGTAAGTGAAGAGAATTTTACATTAAACCTAATAGAAACTCAGTCGTAAAGAAAATAATCATTCAAAAAGAGTTATTGGAATAAAAAATGTTCTCATTTTAACTATTTATTGTCTAGATGAAGAAAACGATGAACCTGTTGTATGTTCATCTGATCGTCATGAACCAACACCTAGTCAATTATCAATAGTAACATGGTTTTATAATATGATGATCTATTGGTACTGGTATCAGTTATTGCTAATCTCACTTGGTTTAAGTATTGGTCTGTCTTGGCAATGGCTAATATTAGTATTAGTCATCATTGGTATCCGTATTGTTAGATCTTCAACACAGATCTCGAACCATCAACGTGATGGAAGATATCGCAATTCTCAAACATCTCATTCAAGTTTGTTTTTCGATTTTGAAATTCGTTCGAATTTCTTTCTAAAATATTGTTTCTTTGTTTTAGACAATTCACGTTCTAATCGAAATAGACATGTAGTAAATGGTATTCCTCGTAAGTTGTATTTGTTAGTCAGAAAAAAAAGTCAATTACACAATATTTTCAATTTATCGTTGTAGAACCATCGGCTATTGTCTTAACTGCATTTATACTCTTCGCAGCTGTTATAAGTGAGCAACTTTTAAACTTTTGTTTATTAAGGTCTGTATTATCTTTTTAGTCTTGACTTATACACCATTAGAAATTCAAGATACACAACCGCATGATATCATAATGCCTAACAATATGAACAGCATGCATCAAAGTATAAATATATCATAGTTTTTGTAATCTCTAGTATATCGTTGGCATTATAGATCTTCCTATAAATAATGAAAATAGTGGCATCAATGAAGATGCAACATTATATAATAATTCCGATGATGATATTACAACAACACTTACACCTTATGGTAAACAAGTTCTTATAAATGTTTTTTTTGAATTGTCTATTGTTAAATATTTAGAAGCAAATATTCAGGCCATCGTTAGAGGAAGTATTGCAACCGAAACAGTTGATAATGAAACATGTAAGTTAAGAAAATATATTTCTATATGATATGTAATAACAATGTTCTATTTGAAAGATAATCTGAATCATGTTGATTTGATCGACATTGAAACTCAAATACTTTTGAATTATGATAGTAATGAAGAAAATGGTAAGTTATGTTTTCGTAAATGTACATTGAGAAGTGTTACAGATAACATTGTTTGGGTTCGAATAACTTATAGTGATATTCTAATATGTACGGTTCTATGATAAGAATATTTCTGGACCTTTACAAGTTTAATGAAATGTGAAAATTATTTTCATAGTTGAACCTTTTGTTTTTTTTTGTGCTTAGAACAAATTGTTAGTTCTGAAATTGGGTCTTATATGGATGATGAAGATGATTCGACTGATGATACTGGAATAGGTCTTGATTCTGACAATGATTTTTATACGAATTCTGGAAGTGATTCGAACGATGATCAAACCGATGATAACAAGTAACGCGACGCAAGCGTCGCTAACCCTCTACTGAAAGGATGTGATTTCCTTGAACATATGGTACTCACGAAGAAGAAGATCACAGAACTAATGTGCTGGTATGCATCTATAAAAAGATAAGTAGTTCTCGTCACCATGACCCGCTTGCTAATTGATTGGGTTTGATTTAACCATCGTGGGGGTGTGGATGTGTGTGGGTGTGTGTGGGTGTGGGGTGTGTGTATGGGTGTGGGGTGTGGGTATGGGGTGTGGGCGTGTGTCTTCACTTCATCCATACTCAGACACACCCCACACCCACCCACCCACCCACACCTCACGATGGTTAAATCAAATCCAATCAATTAGCAAGCGAGCCATGGTGACGAGAACTATTTATCTTTTTATAGATGCGCACCAGCACATTAGTTCTGTCATCTTCTTCTCCGTGAGTACCATATGTTCAAGGAAATCACATCCTTTCAGTAGAGGGTTAGCGACGTTTGCGTCGCGTTACTTGTTTTTTTGAAAAACTCATCAAATTTAAAGAGTTTAAACTATTTGTGATGAAGAACATTCTCGAATTCTATCATTTTGAAAATAATCTGGGTAGAGGAACCTTAATATAGTTGAAGAATCAAAAAATAGATGTTTTGAAAAATATTAGCCGCCTTTCAACACTAGATTTCTCTAGAGCGAGCACCCTTAAATGATTCGCTAGACATTTAAATGTTGTACCGTCATCAAAAGCAGACCTCGAATTTCAGTTGCTTATCCTTGATTAAGTCTGATTAAGCTTAATACAGATATATGATCATATTCAGTTTTTTGGGATGTCATATTTTCTTATCCTGAACTCTGACTTTCCTGAATAAAACGGAGAGACAAACATTTATGCCTTTTTAAGTGCGATATGTATTGCTATATGACTGTTTCTTTAAGAAAACGAAATTAGATATCGTTTAGTTGTTTCCGTTTGTTCAGCGAGTTCAGTAGCATGACCAAGTGGCGACCACCCTAAATCAGAATAACTTGAAAAAAAAATATTTTTTTCAAAATTATAGGATTTCGCACAGCTTCTTGAAATCTTTAGGATGGCACAACTACATCTATTTTTGCTTACGACACAACAAGCAAATAACGCCCTGCTTGCATTCACAAATTCTTTACTGGATAGACTATATTACGTCAAATGTCTAATAAGGAATTATTTTGGTTCAAGAATCAGATCATTTGACAATTTCTGTAGCTGCCTCAACTTTCACTTATACTTACGATAAGCCTTCTAAATCAACGTCTAGTCGTTCGTCGGCCTCCCTCCGGTCGGCCACTCACGA